TTCCAGGATCTGGTCTTTGCTCCCAGAACTGTCTCTGTATTTTCTATTCAGCAGTCATTCCTGAGGGGTTGATAGGCACACAGTGAATGTGCAGGCAGTGCAGCTATCCTGTGGGCCATGGACCGTAAGGATCCACTCTGCACAGGCTGGGGAACATGGCAAAAACATTAATGGGAACATGTAGTTTATTCCACGCACCAGCCTGTTCAACTATGTTACACGACTTGGTTAAAACATAGGTATGTTGGGGAAGAAATTGAACTTGACCCTCCCACTTTCTGGACCAGTGATCCATTCAAAGAGGGGAACGCCATCTCCATGATTTTAAAAGTTACCAGGAGATTTTTGAGGAGGTCTGATCTTGGCAGTGTGTGCCAAACATTTTTTTTTGAGAATATCTGCGGATTCTTCTCCCTGAAATGCAAGGAATGTTTCTAATTCCCAGTTTTAGTGATGCAGGAGATTAGAGCTGAATTGCTCAGACCAGGCAAAGCACAAAACAGGACAGTAGGCCTTTGAAGTGAAAGAAGGAAATATCTCATGTGTTTAAGACCTCAGTGATTCTGCATCTGTTAAGCAGCTAAACAGAGCAATGTTTGTAAACACTTTCAGACTTTGGTATATCAAACCTAAGTATGAAGTGTCTTTACCCTTTGTCTTTGTGGAATGAAAGATGTCTCTGCTGTTATGCTGCTGTGAAGAAAACCAAGGTGTTTTGATGCAGCAGAAGGGAGAAAAGGAGGCCACATTTCTCTCTCGTAGTCTGACACCAACTTTGCTGGAAGCTAAAACCACCTCCTGGTGTAACAGAGTAGCTACAATGAGCAACATGCAAGTATGATCAGAAAGCAAAAGCAAACAGGAAAGTGGATACTTCTCATTCTAAACAACAGGATTATGTTAAAGTATCAAGGAAAGCAAGTGGAGTAGCAGAGTTCTGACCTATATATATTCTGAGTAAATAAACTGAACACATGAAACTATCCTGAGATAGCATGCATCTCCATACCAAGGAGAAAGGAATAGAGCTGACCTACTGAATAAAAGCAAGGCCCTGTTGATGTTGACCATTTCTTTACAAGCCTAACTAAGAAAGCTCTACGAAGTAACAGAGAGCATGTCTTGTCACGCTCACAGAGATGTTTATTTCAAGAGGAAGAGGCTGAGAAGACAGTGTTACAGATGTTTGTCACCTTGTGTCAAGCACTGCTAGGGAGGGAATGCTCAGTCTGAGCGTTCTGTAAGAACCTACAAAGGATGCAACAGAATATATTAGTAGAGCAAAGCTGTTCCTGTGACATTCCTTGTTCTTGTGAACATCAGTAGCTTTGAAGCGATCTACGTATTTAAATGCATCAATATGTATTATATGCATAATTTCACTCCTTTCCTCTTATTGCTTGATTCTCCCCTCTGTAGAGCTATGCCCCAGCTTTGTAAAATAAAGTATCCATTACACACTGAAAAAATGGGCCTGATGAATCACAAAACCCCACATAATTTAGTACATCATCTTTCAATACAGCTTTTCAGTCTAATGTAATGCATTATTGAAGATAACGTGTTCATTAAAACAGCTGCTAGCAAAGTGTTCATTTGGATTGTTTCATGGAAGCACTAGTCAAAGAGAAATAAAACACCACATGCTAATGATATACAAAAAGGACAAAAAACAATTAAGTTTTGATACATTGGTATTGAGATGTTAATATGATTTTTTTTAATGAGCACTGCTATGCTGGCTTTTATATGGTAAATATCAAGCATTACAAACCCGGTGTTGCTTTTCAGCAAACTTACAACATATAATAAAAAATAACAAAAAAGCACATGGCAAAATTACCAAGGCTGTTCAGCAAGGATGAATTAATGAGCACAGAATTATTATTTATTGTTTCTTATCGCTACTTCTCTGTCAGTGAGCATTTAAGTAGCAGATATTTGGATCCAGAATTTGCTCCTGGTCTCTAGTGGAGTAAACTAAAATCTCTCATCCCCTTAAGCACTAGGAAGTCCTGGATGCTGATGTACTGGCTCAAATGAACATCTAACATCTTCCATTGCAGCTGAGCCTCAGCAACAGCTGTTGGCCTCTGAACAGGACCAAATTTGTGACCCCAACATTAAAATTTTGTCAGTGCTTTTATCCACCTGTTGTGCAAGTGTGTTTCCTGGTGAAGCACAGGGTAATAACAAGAATAGTTTAACTAGAATATGTCACCAGCAAGAGACACACACTAGAAAAAATATCTATAATAACAGGTTTATTAAAGCTGCTACCATTAATTCATAAGAAATTTCCATAAAATTAACGAAACAAACTACTGTTTCATGGCTCCTTTGCATATCACCCTGAACATCCTTTAAGCTAGGCAAGACAGATTACATCATTATTTAGCTGCAGGCCCAATGGTTTAAATTACACAGACATCCATACCTCCTGTCTCCACTACTGAATGTGCAGACGAGGAGAGAAAGTTTGGCTGGGATAGCCATTCAACGATCTAATATTAGTCTATTGCTTTCACCCTTCTAAGCTCTTGCTCAGGTCCCTCAGCCTCTGAGCACTCTAACTTTGTCATGGTCATATCCAAGAAGTCCTTTTATGCTGAGAAGAAAGGGAAAAATCAGTTCTGAATAACCATGATCTGAAACATCTTATGGCAGAGACTAGTAGTCAACACCTTTGTTTGTCCAGTAAACTACTGAACTATTTATCATTTTAGGCAATAAGGCAGGTAACTACTGAGTGTTGCAGAAACATATTATAACAAAGCATGAACTCTTCTTTCCATTTCTGTACTTTAGTACACATACACTGTCCAAAAGGAAAAAAAAAAAAAAAAAAATGCTTTCACTGTAGTCTCAAAGGAAGGAGTTTATCTGGCCTAATGTAGATGTCTAGAAATCTGAGCTATTCACTCCAGGTTCCTTTGCAAACCACGGAAAGTAAGACGTACATTCAGAGCATGGTTAACATCACAGTAAAATAGAAGTTTGCAATCTGACCAGTTGAATCACTTCCTAAAAATGTCTACTTCTCTATATGGCTATAAAGACAGAATAGATCAAGTAACGTAGAAGTAGATGTGTATGCTGTAGATGTTTAAATTTAGGTGAGATGAATTCATCCAAGGTGTTTAGATGGTCAGCTTAAAAAAGTAAGAAAGATAAATATAACGACATAATGTCATGCAAAGTATGTGTTTCCTGATTTCAAGGCAACAATTAAGTGTGCACTTCTTAAAAAAAAAAAAAAAAAAAAAGGTAATGCAATAGTTACCAGAATTGCAAACACGGAAAGAAATGTTTCTAATTAAAACCCTTTAACAATTTTTGTCTAGAATCCCTCTGCAGTAATAGAGATGCATTTTCCAAAGATGATTTGTTCCATCTTAAAGTTGTCATTTAAGTTACTTGGGAAGAGTCTTCCTCTGGAGATTGATATCTCTCCTCAAAGGTACAGAGTGAGCCCACCTCACTCTGTATGAAAACAGCAGTTTAAACTAAATAGCTGACTTTTAAATGACTAATCTTTGCTGAAATTAATCCCATTTATGCTAGATAAAGATAACAGGTCTTTATATTTGAGGAGGTGCGTTTTCAGTAAAGAGAATACAGCCCCTTCAAAACATATATAGGTATGTCCTACTCTTCAGAAAATGTCAATAAATTATCGTTAGTTTTACACACAGTTTAGCAGTTTCACAGATCTGATGAATATACTGAACAATGTCTAGTTTTGCTTCCTTGAATGTGTGTATGAAAAGGCATCTAAATTCTCATGAAATTAATTCCTTTGGGAACCAGGCAGTAGGACTGCATTTACAGTATTTGTTCCTAGCAATAAAAATTAATCATTTTCCATAGTGGTTTGAATTAACAGGCCAATACACTTAACTAAACACTAGTGGAACTTCTTTATCATGCTTCCTGTATGTCAAAATTAGTAGATCCATTTTTCTGCAAGAGAGAAAAGATTGATCAGAAATGCCAAGCAAATCAGTATTCTCTAAATGTCACAAAAGGAAACTTTAGATCAATTAATCTTTTTAGAAAATCTACCGGTTTGACTGACCCATCTTGTCATTTACTGAAATACAATATGTCAATTTATAATGCTTAATATACAGACCCTTGCCATGTCTTTCTATCATTTTATAACTGTTACAATGCCTTAATAATTTTATAGTCTGATTAATTGCAAAATTCACTCTTCCCATCAAATTTTGCAATGGTATAATAACTGAAATTATTTTAACAAAACAAATTGATTAATGTAATTTTAGTTAACATGATCTTATCTCAGAAGTACATAGGTGAACAACACCTTATCAGAATATTTCATCTATGTTTCCATTTGTCTTTATTTGGTACATAGGTACTGATTTATAGTATTATGAATTAATAATTGCCGTGAAGAAAGAAGACTTAAAATCTAGCAACTTCTAGAAAAATTAATAAAACAAAAGCTTCATTCTTCACTGCTTTGCACATTTGTTTGCTCACTAAGCTCCTCACAAAGGTAAGAATGGTGCTCAGAGTATAATATTTTCATTATGATTTAATAGATTTTGTATCTTCGCTTTCTTGGTCACAATGACTACATTAGGTGAAAATACCTCTGAACCCTGACTTATTCATTTCAATAGAACAGCCTAATTCTCAGATGGTCTTGCAATTTATTCTTGTCACTTCCAGGGCAAGATGCTGTTGCCTTACTGTAGTATACTTCTGTTGACTGCACAGGTAGGACTCTACAGGTTACAATGAGACCTTAAGACATCTCCCTCACAGGTACAGAATAATTATTGTGTCTAGAACCTGGGGTTGGTTATCATCCTAAGCAATCCAGTCTTACTGAATGAAATACTTTGAAAAGGTTTAAGTACACAGAAATGAGCAAAAGCAATAGCTGTGTTGAAATATAATCAAGTTATTTGAATAAAGTCCTCTACATTGTTTTTCTTACGTTCAGTATAACACATCTTGCATCTTACCTTTGACTTTGGAATAGCAAGGCTCACAATGCACGGTTTGTCTGTAAATCCAAATGCTGTCTCCTGCTTTCAGATCTTCCAGTGGTCTTTTACATACTTCACACTTCAACACACAAGTAAAAGTAACAAGAAAAATTAAAATGAAACTGTTCTGTAATATTCACTCCCAGCATGCCGTTTTTTAGGAATTAAGCAACCCAAGACCAGAATAAGGGTTACGAGTACTGCAATATCATCAAATCTGAACTCTGAAAGAGTAGTTTTAATGAACAGTAAATCAGACATCTGAATATCGCACATTTAGACATCTAAAAATCAAATACCTAAGTCTCAACTGATTCCCTAGGTTTTCATTATACTCACCAACCCCTTCCTTCTCCCAGACATTTCCAAAGGGTACTTTCTCTGTCTTAACTCAGAGATTTCTTCTAAAAGAAGATGAATCACCCTTTTGAGATCCTTTTGTTTCTTCATTGAGTAAAGAAAGTATAATCAGGCTTACTCATCCAACTCAGAGTAGATCTTAAGGAATCTAAACCTACTTATTTCAAAATATTTTATGATACTTTATCTTAACCATTAACTATGTCTCCTGTTATTGCAGAATCTGGAGACTGCTTTAACAAATGTCTTAAAAAACTAATTTTTGAGATAGAGCAGCATCGCCTGTGTTTCACATATGAAAATACACAGATACACACAGAGGTTGACTTCCCAAGATCACAAGGAAAGCCTGCAGTGGATTAAGGAGCAAAATAATTCAATCTGTAAACCGGAATTTTGACACCCAGATCATCCCCTTTTTTTTTTTTTCAGTCTAATAAAAGAATAGCAAATTCTGGTTTCTTTGATTATTTTATCCTTTAATGAGTGAAAATTAACATTACTTTTACAGTGCAATTCAGTAACTGAATTGCCAGTCATCCCAGAAAGGCTGTAAGCCTTTCCATAATTTTCATGATGGCTGTCTAGTCAGATAAATTTGGACTGAAAATATTTATGAAAATTAAAAATTAGCAGTCTTATCCAGAACATTCCTTTGCAGTTAAATGTATAAAGAAATTGTGTGATGTCAACACCATGGACTCAAAGGCAGCGTGAATTATTAGATCCAGGATCCAGACAATATGCAATTGCCTTATGTTACACATGCTCACCAGGGCTAGTATGAAATTGCAGCTGAACACTCAGTATTGATTAGTCTAACATATTAGCGTATTAGAGATTAATTTTTTTTCAATTTTACGGAACTATGGGTTTTGTGTATCTTTTCTACATAAGCTGTTAGTATTAAGGTACTATTAAAACAGTCTTCTCTCTTATTTTATATTTCCTTGTATGAATCAGCAAAAGGATGGGCATATTTTCAAAACTTTGATCACCAAGATTATCTAGCATATTTATACAGAGAAAAAAACCCTACGAATTGAATTATTTACTCACTGAACTTTTGGTATATACCTTTACAAAGAAACAGAGACCTTATACTGCTGTCAGCTACGTGCAAATCTGTAATGGGTACGGGGTATTTGTAAGGAACTAAATGAATATTAATGATGAGAAATTGCAGTACCTAGATAAATACATAACTACAAGCATGAACCACAGACCTACATTAGTGGTTTCATTTTTTGCCAGCGCTTTCATAAATGTGTAGTTACACAAAACTTAAGCTGAATTTTGCTGGCCAGACAGGTCCTCACTTGGGAATAGGTAGCAAAAAGAATATAATTTAAAAAATCAGCTTAAATATTTAGCAGATAATGCAGCCAATACCAATATGTTAACACTCCTAACTGCATAAACATCCCATTCCTCTTTGTGTGGATTGATGTATCTAAAAAGAATGGCAGCAAACCAGAACTTACATTTACTTGCAATAATAGTATCGAGGAGGTACTACATAGTGATTTCCATGGAAGAAATTGCATTTCTAGTGCTCATAGAGCTCAGAAAGTCCATATAAGAGAAAAAGCATATGTAACTTCATACATTTTCAGTACAACCTTCCTGTTGTATTCTGATTTGGGTTACTCTTCATGCAACAACTAGGTAAAAGAACTGCTGTCAGAAGCAGAAGTAAAAGCTACGCAAGACTGAGCAGAAAAATGAGCTATGCTAATGCGGTGATTTTGCCAAGTATTGTTTGTTAGAACAACAAACTCTGTGTGGAGATGCAAGCAGAATTAAGACAAATGAAGCAGAAAGAAAACAGACTAGAGGGCTAAGCACTGGTATGCGTACCCTGAAGAAAGTTTAAGAGGGAATTTTAGGCTGAGGCTTAGGCTTTGGAATGTCAAGCAAAAAAAAATTTCTTCTGTGCTTTCATTCTTATTGGAAGCAGGAAAAATATTTTACATAATTTTTCATAAATAAGACTGAGGCAAATACGTACCCAATTTCAACACTATTTTATCCTACAGCAGAAACTATCCAGAAGACCCAAATTTTAACCAAATCTTTGACGCCAGTGGGTAAAATGATTTCGCCTCTACGGCTAAAATACTTCTTACTAACATCTTCTAGACTGACTTGTCTGCAAGCCCTGCTTTTAGATGTCACTTAATCAAGAACATGTACAAAACTTCATAAAAAAAGAAATAGAATAAAATTTTACAATATGAAGAAAGTGTAAGTAGGATATAATTCACTATATCAGACTGGAAGTGTGTATAACTGAAGGCTTATAAATGTGTGAGACATTCAGGATAAAGTTCCACTGCATCCTTTATCCTCCTTGTGGTTGAAAGAGAGAAGGAGAGGCAGAGAGAGCAAGAGTAGAAGGAGAGAGAGATATGGAAAGAAAGAGGAAGGGATTGTGTAGGGGTGTGTGAGAGAGACTAGTATTTCCTACATGAATCTTCTCCAGTGTGCAAGCCTTCCTCTTCTCCCAGATGGAGAAGGCCTAAGGACTAAGTATTCTCTTATTATATGTGTAATATAATGTAGGTATTAAATTCAAATTGTGTTTCTTAGTAGCAGGTGAAATCTTCTTACCTTGAAGCAAGTCGAATGACAGCAAATTTGCAAGGCATCTAAGATCATTTTGGCATCTATGCCCAAGGGCTTCCTGCAGTATGTACATATATCTTTTCCAATTATACTCCTGTGTATATAATACAACATCAGCTGTCAGAAAAAGAGCTACCATTGAAATCTCAAGGAGAAAATTGATAAGCTTAGTGCACTACATGGGAAAGATTTGTATACTGTACAATGGCCCTAAATGGAAAAATGTCATGTGTATATTCCCTCCATTCTAGTTGACAGGCGTAATATACATGCTCCTGTGATGGGAAAATTGCTGAGCACAATTGTCAAGTAGCAAAAATACCTTGATAGAAAGAACGGTCATCTTTAGTGAACTGAATGATTTCAAACAGTAATGAGACTGTATTAAACTGCTGAATGTCTGACAGCATGTGTACTACATGGGGTTGAATTGGGGGGTAATGATTTTAACATTTTAATCACAAAAGTAAATTGGTAGTTGAATTTAAACTGCCATCATTTGATCAGTCTGACATAGAATTCTTCTCTATGCTGCAGAAGTGCCTGAAAACATTTTTAATTTTCTGCACTGCAGACAGAAATCCTACCTTCATGGCAGTTATAATGAACACATGTATAGAATAACCTACCCAGTATTCATAACAATAATATTTTTAAAAATTTTCTCAACTCTTTTTGCATTGTTATGTGACATCAATCTGTACTTTCTCTAGATACACCTTGGGTTTGCTTTTGCACCACAAAATCAACTGGTCTTGTTCCTTTCCACTCAATGATAAACAATTGTACGAATATTTAATCATTCCCAGAGTTTCTTATACTTACATCAGAAAGGTTACAAATTTTTTTGATTTGGTATTTCCAAGTAATGGGACTGTCCAAATTATCTGAACCGAAAACAGTGGGCACATTTAATTTATTGTTTTTCCCATGTGGTAAGATATTACTGTTTGAGCAAATATTCTTCTTATATTTAGGAATATCTTAACAGATGCGAAAACATAGTTTTTAACAGCATTGTCATATGAACTTATTCCTCCACATCTCTACATAAAGTTGGTCAACACAGACACCGTTCTCACAAAGGAAGGAAATTTTGCAGAGTAAGTGGCTGCCTGAGATAGAAGCCTACAGAATCACAAAGCCAATTCTATCACTTAAGGCATTGGCTATTGTTTCTTTAGCTATTTTTAAATGTCAGCTGTGACAAGCCTAATGTAATATTAGGCTGCTGAACTGTGGTAATGATTTGATGGCAAGATCCCACTGAAAGTGAGTTCTGTATGAAAAGCTGTCTGACGAGCCTAATGGTGTCTTCCACTGCTCTTTTTTGTCTGAACACTTGAACACTTATGAGAAATGTCTGTGTCCTTTGATACTCTACAATGTTATTGATGTGTACTTACCGATCAGAAGTAGAGTAAACAGTTTTGATAGTATTTCCAGTTATATTTTCTTCATAGGCACCATATGATGATTTGCTGTGAAGCAGTGAGTACATACCAATCACTGAACAGTACTTTTTATTTTTAAAGATTTCACTACACTGATGATAATATGCAAATTAAACTAATGTAACATGCTTATAAAAAAAGTCATCATACTTGGTGATGAGTTCTTTTTCTGTATTTTCACAATCATCAAGAAAAATATAGCAAATAAAAAAGCATAAATTAGTAATATAGTGTCCTTAGACTGTGTTCTGTTATTGAATGATTCTTCAGCATTTCAAAAGTAAATCCACAAGCCCATTAAGTAAAATCTACATGATGGTATTGGGTTTGCCTGTGCTGATACCTCAGCCTAAATATCAGGAAATGGTGGCATACTACATTTTTTCCTTTCTCTCCCTTCTTTCACTAGTCCTCAAAGAGCTGTCAAACAGCCAAACAAAATTACAACATGTCCCTAGAAGCAGAGTGAGCATCTTTATAATACAGGCCATTCAATGTGTGATTTGTGTTCACTACAGTAACTGTATTGTTCCTTGTATCAGAGTAGGAAAGAATATACTGAATTTTAACAATCAAGGAAGTTAAATCTTCCCTTTTTTAACAGTCCCAGTTTTAGCTACCTAACTGTCAGTTTTGTTTGCGTGGAAGGGATGAGCATGTATGTGACAGCTGAAGAAGTCATCTTGCCATACATGTTTTGAATATTTCTGAATTGATGTAATTATCCTATTCCTCCAAGAATTCATAAGGTATATGGTAATTATTATGTTTTTCATATCACTCTTGAATAATGTTTAGCAATGTTAGGAACAATTTTTAATAATCGTATATTTGCAGAACATGTCTTTTTTTCAGGGAAAGTGTAACAGACTGATAACATGCATGTGTGATGTGTTACACAGCCCAGATGATACACTTTTCTACATACCTGTCTTTTGTAAACTGTCTATGTCTTATTTGATTTCTGTGCACACCAGGAGTGTATTAAAGTTGCACGGTTACTGAGAAGCTTGAATGAGAAATGTTTTGTTTGTGTTTCATAGAACATAACAATACACTTATTATTTAATAGTAACTTAGCAAACCTAGGTTTGCTCACCACAGAGAAAGTGTTTCCTCAGATGAACACCCAGTGCTCCATTTACATTTCAAGCAAGATGAAAGTAAGCTTACTAAGTAGGAAAGCAAACTGAAGCTGAGTGATCGCCTTTTGAAAGAGTTTGTCTGGCTATTTTTGCCCTGACCAAACTAGACACATGCACAACATGTGTCACAGGGTGGAGTATATTGATGGTGCAAATGCGTAAAGTTCTTGCTATAGTGAAAAGTGGAATAGGAATCTCACCTCTCTATTTCTATCAAGTATGGGCCTGTCTGTGCTTATTTTTTGTTGTTAAGCTTATTTTTCCCAAATATTGCATTTAACTCATTGTATATAGCTGCACAATCTACTGCTGAGTCAGGCTGACATTTCACATCATCTAGGTAAATCAGGGTTGAGGTCAGGGCAAAGTGAGTACTGTACATTGCACGCTTAACGTAATATGGGTATTTAGATGCAGCATGCCTGAAAGTAACACTATCTATCTTATAGAAAATGGTACAGAGAAAAATACTTTCCTCAAGTGTCCTAGTGTAGAGAACAGTGTCCTTTGGATTTTAATAACTGGCTAGAGTATTATGGTTGAAATAAGACAGAAAAATATATATAACCACATCTTAAAAAAAATTGTACTGTATAGAACAAAAAACTATGAAGCTACAGTAAAAATATTTCTAAAGCATCAATTTCTAGTCTTGGCAACTGGAAGTGTGAGGAAACTCAGAATCTTTTCAACTAAACGCATAGTCTGACAGCTTGACAGGACACTAAGTTAAAACTGAGCCACAATGCAGCCTAAGAGCTGCCTATCTGATCAAGTCCCTTCTTTCAGTTCATATCACACTCTCCTTTACTTGCTATGGTGTGACTTGTTTATTCAGCGAACTACTCATCAATAAATATTCTGTAGAACCTATTGCATAAACCCTGAGAGAATAACCTGCAAAGACCATTCATTTAGTAAGCTTTCTTGAATTAAATTGGGATTAGAGCTTCAGGTAGGGGGTATGCATTTTGTCAAGCATAAGGTTAGACTGCATATTAAAGTGCATTCTTTGCCCTGCCATTCTTGTATTATTGTTCTCTATTTTAATTTTCAAGGTTAATCAGAATATTGGACCTCAGAAGCTGTATGTGTGCAAAATGCTAATTAATTTTTGTGTTGGATATTCATTTTGAGTATTAAAATTGTATGCAGTTTGGATTTCCTTTTATTCTCAGCCAAGGCTTGGCCTTTAAGGCCATGCAGAAGTTTCAGAATACACAAATTTCAACCACACTCCAAACTCCTACAGCAAATGTAAAGAAATGAGAGATCAAAGACCCTGTGCCCAGTCATACCCCCACCAAGGCTCAGGTGTGCATAAGCTTAAGGATTGGGACATTGGAGATAGTTCCCGTAAAGTACCAGACTGTGACTGCTATTTTCTCTATTAGTAAGGCTCAATAGAAGATTTCTCCTCTCCCTTCCAAATCATCAGCCTTGACTCATGCAGTTCATGACCGCTGTACAGCAATGTAACACCTTACATATAGTACTATGTCTTCAAACAATCCTGTCTACTTTAATACTTAATTAATCCACATAGATGGGTGGGTTGGTACTGAAGAGAGGTTTTCCTGATCCAAAAAAGTCTTTCATTCAAGAATTATATATTATATTTTTTGTTGTCGTATTTCTTGAAAATACATTTGACTGTGAAGAAAAATATATTGTTTCCTTTATTTCAATGATTTCCTGTTACCAGCAGACCTGGTGTTTAGTTAGTTCTATTAAATATCACTACAACACATTTTTCACTCAGATTTGAAATATGTGTGCTTGTAGAGACAGAATCCAGCTAGAGCAAGAGTATTGCAAGAGAAATTACTTTTAAAATAGTTTGTACCTGGTCAAAAAGCTAGAAACCTGTGTTAGAGTTTCAGTGATTGGGATAAGAGATGACACATGGGTTCAGATCCATCCCATATGGTTTTAGGAACTTAACAAGGCACCTGAGTGAAGAGTGTAATGTTTTCCTTACAGCCTCAGAGAGAAATAAGCTCCCTGAGAGCATGATGTATTTCACATGCAGGAAATGCCTTTCCTCTGTTGATTATATATGAATTCTGGCTTAACTGGTCTCCTAAATTTCATGCCTCAGCTACATCTCTAGAGCTACACAGGGTATGTCTCATGTTCCCCACTCTGTACACTAGAGCTGTGCTTTGTGGGCTTCTGTGCGTGGGATCCTGGAAGCAGAATTTGGAAAGGGGGTGGCATGATTCCAGAGACCAGTGTGAGGTTTCTAAACATCCCCAAAATTTCTTGCATAAGGATGGTTTCTTTTAATTTTTTGCAAGAAATGACACTTTAGACATCATGGTCCTCAATTCCCTGTCCACAGTACCTGGTCTTTCTTTCACTGTCTCTGGAGTAGTTTGTTTCTGGGAGATTATTTGGGGCACTTGAAGGATTTTCATATGCTTGCTCAGTTATCCTTAAAAAAAGAAACGACACAACAAGAAAAGAAACACTTTTTAGAAAGCATATTCAGCTACACAGCTTTCAGTTACACTTACAGCCATAAATGTAGAAGATTGGGCTAGAAACAATAGGTAAAAGAAATTTCTCTTTTTCTTACTGTTCTTAAATTTTTGCTTGTTAAAAATAATGGAATCACTGGCCTATAATTTTAAGTCCTCTAGTTTATGCTGGTAGATATATTCATATCAGAAACTTCATCTAACTTTAATTGAACTCTAGTTTCCTCAAAGCGCCCACTGAGGTTTTCAACTGTGCAATAATGTTTCCTTGGTTGATAGCATTCTGCATTTTCTTGGCAGTATTCTATAATGTTTTATTCTTGTTTTTACTATATTTTGGTTCCACATTTTCTTTTTTTTGGATATACTACAGTTGTATTTTTATTAGGAATGACCAGCTAAACAGATATGTAGTCTCTTAGTTCAAGCAGCAGGATTACGATTCAAGCAAAAGAAACCTTGTCTCATTTAGTTTTCCCTGCCACAAACATGACATGCAACCAAACAAGAAAAAACCTTGTCAGACAAATTACAGGATTTAAGGAATAAGTGATAATAATGTTTTTGATGATTTTACAAAGCAGCTCAGACAAAGGCTGCTCTTGTTTGGTTCTGACAAAGGTTATATTCTGAAACAACTTGCTGATTATAAGCCTTAAATCTGGATGTTTGGGCTGCAGCTTGATTTATTTCAGTGAGCTTGCCAAGGTCTGAAGCTTTGCTAAACGAACCTTGCTCAGTGCTGGTCACTGCTTTATATGCATAGCATGCTGCATGAAGCAGCACCCTCTATTGTGCTTGACTCCTAATCTGGCAGGCCCCCTTTCAGAACTAAAAGTTAGAAACTCATTCACCGTAGATATTCAGTATATGTTTCTCTGGTCAGACTGTCAATTGGGACTGCCAGGATAAAAATATTTTATATTAAAAAATAGCAAAACTGCTTATGTATACAGATAGCTAAGTTCTTCCTCTTCATTTAGATATAGAACTAAAGGGAAGACTCAAAAATATACCATCAGAATGGTACCTAAAAACGTAATGCTAACTTCACTTTACTTGACTAAAATAGATCTTCGTTTTTGCAAATAATGAAATCTAGTAGCAGTGAAACTTTTAAACTATGAATGCATTTACTTATATTTCTTTGAGATGCTAACAGCTGAGTTCACAAAACACCTAAATAAGCACAGAAATACTTATGAGGATCTTGTCATGAGGTGTTTTCATTCACTACAAGAGATTATAGATTTGAGTCATTGTTTATTATCAAAATATATGCAGCTATATTGTTATATTTGGTTAATCAGGCATATTTTAGAAATAATACAGATAGCTTACTCAAGTTATGCATATTCAGTTTGCTTGTATTAAGAATTCACATTTTCTTGTCACACTCTAAACAGCTACAACTCTTGATATTGGCTCTTTAAATTTTAGAGAGAACTATGAATTGAGTCTCACCACTTTTTGCTTTGGTCCTCAGCAGACTTTACTTCAGTGTGATCACCAACGTCCTCATCTCTGTGGAAATGAGAAAGACCTCAGAATTAATCAAATTATTTGATTCAACCTAAACATATGAAATGGGTTGAATTATGTATGTTGAAGAAGAAAAAAATTATATGCATTTCACAAGGAAGATTCCTGACTACAGTATCACAATTGTTTCATATCATAATTGTTTAGTTAGCTATGAAGTAAGAGTTATCAGTTCAAACGTCAAACTCTTCAGTGTGACACTACAAAAGAATGACAAACTACTCAAAAATGCAAAGTTCATTACAGTATTATAGGATAATTCACGCTGGAATTCAGGGACCTGGAATTCAGTACAGGCACCAGCACCATGAGCTAAGGAAATGGCTGTCAAAGTGTGGTATTTGCTTTGTTGTTATATCCAGCCCAGATTCCTCTTACAACTGCTGTTTTCTAGGGTGGTATACGATCTCTAGGACTACTTAACCACATGACCACATTTATAGTAGTAACTTGTATATCACTGGCTGTGAAAAAGCTGATTTCATATAATAAATTTTATGTAGTGATACATGTCATCTATATAATATATTAATATAATTTTACATTAATATTTTATATTAAATGGTCTGTAATGAAAAATAATAATGTTATCCATTGAAGAATTGTTTAAGAAGAGGTAAGGTGTAGTAAAAGAAAGAAATATATTTATGCATACATTTGAAAGGAAAAAAGTAAATTGTTAGTTAAGTTTATGTTCAAAATTTGCAAACACTTCTGTTATTGACCATAATAAGAAAATCTGTTCATAATTTTCCACTAGCAAGATAAAGTTCTGTACAATTAAATAAAAAAATACTATCTAGTACAGCCAAGAAAATAAAAAGGCTTTGTTTAATCATATCAGTGTCATAGTTTAAGATTCTTCTTTGCCAGTGAAGATAGTGCAGGAGAAACATGAACTCTCAAAGAACTTAGTATTCATTTACAGGCTCCAAGCAGCTTAATCCTTGTTTGCATCATTAATTTGCAAAAAATATGTTTTTATTTAAACTAAGAAACTTCTAATTCTTAAGTCAACACCTAAAAATATATCCAAATGTCCACATATTTTTGCTTCTGGAATGACAAGAAATTATGTCCGTGCATCATCATAGTTAACAATTAAAGCATTGATTATATACTTACACTGAAAATGCAAGCACCCATAGACTCACAAAGTTTACATATAAGGAAATATTTTTTTAATTTCATAAATACAGTTAAACTAGTGGTTAGTTTTTCCTCTGGATTAATTTTTTAAATTATTTTGAAGTGGTTCAGTGAATTAGAGAATGAAATTACCTATGAAAAGCACTCTAACTAACGTAAAAACCCTGATTCTCTTTAGGTAGAAGTAGGGAGCAAAATCAAAAGGCTAAGTTAGCTCTGTGAAACTGATAACTTTGTCACTTGAATCCATAACAGCCTTATTAATCTTAAAACTTTGGATGCCTCCTAAAATTCAGTGGCATCTCAAAGTCTTAGACTCTATCCTAATAAATTCTCTGTGAATTAAAATTTGAAAAAAAAATCGTACTTAACCTACAGGTTAGTGCTAAGTGTACATATATGTATGTATGTATGTATGTGAGATTGTCTGCTGTAAAATAGATGATCATGTTGGCAATATTTATGAGCTGCTACTGTGTAGAGCATCATTCTTGAAGTTATCTGTAGAATTTCAGTGTTAGGAGTGACACACATTACATAGCTCTTACTAGCACAGTACCCTGGCAGTTCCTCCCTTTCCGTATGCTGAAGGGCTGCTTACAGACCGCGAGAAACTTAGCCTGAAACACACTGAACTGATGTGCTGTTCAAAAATGTAAGTTCAAGCTGTTCTTTATGGATCACTGCCCTTGCTGACTGAAATGCTTTGTTATACCCTGTTGGTGCATCACTTATCATCCATGAGTTCTACAATATTTTGTTTAACGCCCCTTCTTTAACTATATTAAAGTATCTCTTTAATAGTTTTATCAGGGAAGCACATAAGGCATGTATGGAAGTTTACTATAGAGATTACTTGTTCAGTTGGTAGTGCACATGCCAGTTAATTAATCTGTATTTTTATATTCATCATTCTGTATAAGGAATGCTACTTATTAATGTATAAACATTTCATAGATTTGCAACATTACCTTTCCTGACATTCTCATAGTTACAAACTACTCACTGCCTTAGAAAAGCAGGGCCTGAGAAGCTTTGAAGACTTACTCCTTGTCATTTATGAAAGAACTTGGATTCACTTTGATGAAGTTATCGAGATCTTGGTTCCTTTAGAGACAAAACAAAAACCAGATCAAATCACAATTAGTATAGCCAGTTGTCAATTAGCCAAATTAAATACTCACTTAAAAAGAAATTAAAATTGTCACTTTATTTATGAAAGACAAAAATAAACTGATTAAAAGTTCAAAACATTCATCATTTTAGTAATCCAAAGATATTAATAGACACAGCCATGTGTCCCCCATATGCACATAAGCACATGCTTCCTGGAATAAGACCACCAAATTACATTTTGGAAACAACAAGTTATACCTAATACTTATG